CTGGGGAGGGATGAGGTGGGAGAATCGCTTGAAACTGGGAGGTGGAGGTTGCAGTGAGCCAAGATCACACCACTGGGCGAGAGAATGAGACTCTGTTCTCCAAAAAAAAAGAAAGAAAACAAAAGTACATGTTCGTTTTGTCTAGCTATACATTAGTTTAATGCTGTGAATATACAGCAGTCCAACGTTGAAATTCCTTCTGTGTTTCAGAGTTGTATCTTTGTTTCATGTTGCTTAAGTTAAAGTTGTATTTGTCATTTCTACAGCAACACCAGATGCAGGAGAAGACCCCAAAGTTACGAGAGCCAAGTTCTTTATCCGGGACCTGTTTTTGGTAAGCCATTTTGTTAACCTTTGTTTTTTTACCTCCATTCTTAATCTTTTGTTTCTTGCAGTATGCAGATTACTTACTCTTTGATTTAATCTTCCTTAACGTTATGAGAGATGAGAAAAAGGGTATGTTACTTTCATTTCACAGCTGAGCACACCGAGGTTCAGAGAGGTTAGATTTCTCACCCCAGGTCACACAGCTTCCAACCAGCCCAGAGCCAGGGTGAAACAACAGGTGCGTCCCCAGGAGTGGCACTGGATGGGCTACGACTTCATTCATTTCTGTACTTTCGAAAAGAAGGGCAGCGTTCCTTCCAGCAAAGTCCAAGGCAGCCCAGTGCTCCTTCCTGCCGACCCAAAAGGCACTAAGCAGGGCTGATGGTTTATGTAAAACAGGTTGTGCACAAATTCAGGTACTTCTTTCTTCAGCTTTTTTGATATTTTGAGATTATTATAGTTAGATATTATTGAGAATTATGATTTGGGATAATTTTGATGATTATTTCAAACTGTACATATTGAGGGGGAAGATTGTACCCATAACTCCCATATACTCAGGGCCGGGCGCCGTGCTCCACGGCGTGTAATCCCAGCACTTGGGAGGCCGCGACGCAAGGTAGATATCACCTAAGGTCAGGGTTCGCGAGAGCCCAGCCTGGCCAGAACATGGTGAACCCCCGTCTCAGCTAAAATACAAAAATAAGGCTGGGGTACATGGGCACCGCGCCTGTATCCCAGCTACTCTGGAGGCTGAGGCAGAATGGCCTAAACCACAGGAGGCAGAGGTTGCAGTGAGCCGAGATTACACCACTGCACTCCAGCCTGGGGCCGACAGAAGCGAGACTGTCTCAAACAAACCAAACAAAAAACTCCATATACTCTTTATCCACAACTGACCCAACTGCCAAAATTTGCCAGCCGATATGGCTTTACTCTATATTATTTTCTTTGAAATAACCTACAGTGTATAGCTAGCTGTGAGTTTTTACTCGCTTCAAACTATTACAGGCCAAGGCATTCCCAAGAGCATGTTCCCCGTAGTAGTCCAGGCGCACTTAACACGTGTGGACAAGGTCTCAGCCCCGGGAGCACTAGGGCTGATCCTTGGCTGTGAGGCCTTTCCATGGGGACCGGCACTCCAGCCTGGCCTTTCGCCGCCCTTTTCCCAGCCACCCCTGTGGGATGACTCTTGAATCCTACAGTGAGTTAGAAAGTAACAATGAAGAGAAATCAAGGCCCCAGGGTGAGTTCAGAGGACAAGAGTTCCCCCAGACGTGCATGGCCGTAAGTGCATGGCAGCACCGGAAGAGCTTGTGCAGCTGAATAAATCTGGGATGTGCTGTGTTAAATACAGCGTGGGAGGTTCCTCTGCCTCTCTGAGACTGTCAGATTCTCAGAGCCTTTACTTAAGGCCAATTAATGTGCATTGCAAATCTCTTCAATAAGGGGATTTAGTTTGTAATAGATCAAGGAATCCCTTAATTTTAAGGAGCATTTTGTAAGACCATAACATATAAAGACACAAAAAAATGGTTTTCTAATGAGAACTAAATGTTAATTAAGCATGCATATGTTGGGCATTTAAATGAAGATTAGAAACATCCAGGCCGGATGCAGTTGCTCATGCATGTTATCCCAACACTTTGGGAGGCCAAGGTAGGTGGATCACCTGACGCCAGAAGTTCGAGATCAGCTAGACAACATATCAAGACCTCGTGTCTACAGAAAATTTTAAAACGTACCTGGCTATGGTGGCACAGGCATGTAGTCCCAGCTACTCAGGAGGCTGAGGTGGGAGGATTCCTTGAGCCCAGGAATTTGAGGTGGCAGTGAGCTATGATTGTGCCACTGCACCCCAGCCTGGGTGACCCCAGCCTGGGTGACAGCAACACTCCATCTCAAAACAAAAACAAAACTATTTGAAGCAACGCCCTTTGCAATGACTCCATTCCCTTAATTTTAAGGCTCTAGACAGGGACAAATAGTCACACTATTACAGAAGAAAGCCTTTTTTGGTTTGTTTATTTGGGGCATTGCCTCGCAGTGTCACCCAGGCTGCCTGGAGTGCAGTGGCAAGATCATAGCTCACTGCAGCCTCCAACTCCTGGGCTCAAGCAGCCCTCGTGCCTCAGCCTCCTGAGTAGCTGGGACTACAGGCACACACCACCACACCTGGCTAATTTTTACATTTTATAGAGATAGAGCCTTGCTATGTTGGCCAGGCTGGTCTCGAACTCCCTCGCCTCAAGTGATCCTCCTGCCTCCACCTCCCAAAGTGCTGGGATTACAGGTGTGAGCCACTGCACCCAGCCAAAAGCCTATTTTTCATTCATTCACTACACACTTACTGTGTGTGTGCCAAACACCTCACCTGGTGCTTTGGGATTAAAAAGATATATAACCTACTCATTTCAGTGTCCATAAGTTTTTCTTTTAAATGCTTAAGGGAAGCCTGACTATTGCTAAAGTCAGTCTGTCCCCCTGTGAGGAGTTTCATACCTCAGGACATCTTCGGGACACCCTTTCCGTGGTCTGAGCAGCTGTCTAAAGCCTGTTTCCTGGGATGCCTTGTCGAAAAAGGAGTGGAGGGGATGAGGATGAGGCCCAGGGATTCCCGTGGCACCAAGGAAGAAGGCGAGCTTCCACAGGACCTCTGTCTGTCTGCCTGGGCTGCCATAACAAAGTGCCACAGAGGCTGAGTGTCAAACAGCAGAAATGTATTTCTCACAGCTCTGGAGGCTAGACGTCTGAAATCAAGGTGTGGGCAGGGCTGGTCCCTTCAGAGGCCCCTCCCTTGGCTTGTGGCCGCCTTCTCCCTGTGTCTCACAGGGTCTTCCCTCTGCACACGGCTGCATCCTCCTGGTTTCCTCTTCTCTCTAGGACACCAGTCATACTGCATTAGGGCCCACCCTAATGACCTCATTTTACCGTAATTGCCTCTGTAAAGGCCTTATCTCCAAATATAGTCACATCTGAAGTGCCGGGGGTCAGGGATTCTATGTAACTTCAGGGAACACAGTTCGGCCTGTAACAGCCTGTCCCCACACCCATAGCACTTAGCTTCACAGTGCACATGAGCACATCATTGAGGTGTCCCCACAAACCATGACTCGTAGTGTCTAACCCTGTTTCCCAGGTACTTGACAACAGATCACTTTTCTCCCAGAAGGCAGCAAACGTTCCCCTGATAACCAGGGGACACCCTGCTTAGCAGATGCTAAACTGCCCCTGTGTGGAGGCGGCCACGGGGCCGCTGCACTGTCCAATACAGAACCACTGGGCACAATATGGACATTTAATTAAAACTAGCTGGCAGAGCGTGGTGGCTCACACCTGTAATCCCAGCACTTTGGGAGGCCAAGGCGGGCGGGTCATGAGGTCAGGAGTTCGAGAGCAGTCTGACCAACATGGTGAAACCCCATCCCTACTAAAAATACAAAAATTGGCCAGGTGTGGTGGCGGATACCTGTAATCCCAGCTACTCGGGAGGCTGAGGCAGGAGAATCGCTTGAATCCAGGAGGAGGAGGTTGCAGTGAGCCAAGATGCCGCCACTGCACCCCAGCCTGGGAGACGAAGCAAGACTCCATCTCAAACAAACAAAAAAACAAACAAACTAGCTAATTAGGCTGGGCACAGTGGCTCATGCCTGTAATCCCAGTGAGGCAGGCAGATCACTTGAGGTCAGGAGTTTGAAACCAGCCTGGCCAACATGGTGACACCCCATCTCTACTAAAAATACAAAAATTAGCCGGGCATGGGCATGGTGATGGATGCCTGGAATCCCAGCCACTCAGGAGGCTGAGGCAGGGGAATCCCTTGAACCTGGGAGGCGGAGGTTGCAGTGAGCCAAGACTGCACCACTGCGCTCCAGCCTGGGCAACAGAGCTAGACTCAGTCTCAAAAATATATAAATAAATAAAAAAAATAAAAGTAGCTCATTAGAAATCAGCCCCTCAGTGGTATCAGCTAGATCATGACTATCAACTAGATAGTGACTAGATAGGGCAGACAGAGGACATTCCCATCGACACAGAAAGCTCTGTTCAGACCTTCCTTTCTGGAAGCTCCTCCCTTGACTTGCCTGCCTGGGGCTTTCTCTGACCTATCCATGCTGCTTCAGCCTCCTGGGGGCAGTGATAAGGGTAAGGTTATCTGGGCCCTCAGCTGATGCTTGCGTTGAGACCGCTCCTGCCTCTAAGTGCTCCCATGCGAAACAAGCAGGCCACCATCACCAAAGCCTCCGGCACCTGCTCAGTGTGGCCTAGTCCTTCCCCAAGGTGCATGCTGGGGCCACGCAGGGCTAGTGCACACGCTCTCTCTTGCAGAGGATCAGCACGGCCACCGGCGAAGGCAAACATTACTGCTACCCGCACTTCACCTGCGCCGTGGACACAGAGAACATCCGCAGGGTGTTCAACGACTGCCGCGACATCATCCAGCGGATGCACCTCAAGCAGTACGAGCTCTTGTGAGGCTGCTGCTGCCACCCCGCGATGGAGCGGCGCCCCAGACCGCCTGACTGCCAGCCCCATGCCATGGTAGGAGGCAGGGTCTCTAGTTCCATCTCGCTGCCGTCTGTCCCGTTCTGTGTCGACCACCAAGCCTCTGGCTACCTCTGTCCCCTCAGGTTTGGTTGTGTAGCTTCTGTTGTCATTGAATACGACCTTCCGCAGCATCCCACCCCCAAACCACCGACTCTCATTGCTGACACTGCAGCAGAATCTCTCCGGGTGGGAGCCCCTTTATTCATTCTCCCTTTATTGATTCATCGAGGAGAACTTGGTAGATGGGGAGAAAGCGCAGTTTGCTTTTTTTCCCACGTTGTCAAGCGTGACCGCAAGAGCGTACGTGCAGTGTGCCCTGAGCCGCGGCCCTCTCTGATTTTCCCTTTATGAAGCTGCAGGTTGACGAGCGATGGTCCCTTCCCATCGGCCTTAGCCCTAGACTTAGAGTCGACCCCAAGCGACAGAGTGACCAGAAACCCTTTTACAGTCACATTCAGAGTCGCTGCTGGCCTCAGGCATTTGAATTAGAGCTACTTTGAGCCTCTTACATTTAGGCAGAAAACCTACCATGTTCACTACTGCAAACTCTGTCTTGTGTAAAAATGATTCTCTAAACTTTCACTATACTTAGGCATAGTCTTCTTTCTCAGATTCTCTTTGTTGTTGTCCCTATTGCTGGTTTATTATACTGTACAGACCACAAAATGTAATATTCTTTTGTATAACTACTAAAGAAAAATCCTTGTAGATCTTTGTGCCTTTACCATGGCTATCTATACCTGTACATGAAATGTGTTTGTATCGTGCTAAAGAGCTTAATGTCAACATTACCTGCTGCTTACTCTGAAAAAAGGAATGAATGGTAGCTGTAGAATTTAGGATATTTCATAAGGTTGGCACTTTATAAAATACTCCCTGATTTAAAAAATTGTAAGTTATACACATTAATCATCCACATTCTACCAACAGTGTCGTACCAACATCACAAGCTGTTGCAACCACCTGCTCGCTCTTCTCTGAGCTGTAAAAACCTGAACTCAATTCAGGGGTACAAATTGCAATCTAATCTTTTCAGGGTACCAGGCACTTTTTTCTCTCTCTCTAGACAATATGTTTCCTAATTAGTCTGCTAATGAAACACTCCTTCAAGTTCCCTAAGTGGGAACAGGTCCACCATTCCCCTTAGTCAAAACTTTGGACACAGGCTACATCATACAAGTAAGCAAACAGTAAGAGAAAAACAAAACGTGACGTGTCAATGTTTGTGTCTGGCCTAGGAGAATAAGGATGACAGCTTCACTTGCCTTTTGAAGAAGAAACATTACAAAACCTTAATCTGAAGTATAAAGTCAAAAGATACGGCTCTTTCTCACACTCGCAAGATTTACAAATATAGCCTCAAACATTAGGACACACGAACAGTATCTAGAAAGTAAGAACTGTTGTAGCAATGACACTTCATGTTCCATCTGCAGCCACAGAGTTGAGGGTAGTTTTCAAGGTCTAAAATAATCTGTAAAGATGTCCAAAGTTAAATTTTCAACAATACAAATCTAGAGAAGTGACAGCCTATTACTTCATTACTCTCCTTTTAGTCTTTAGTCTGTAATATTTTAAAGTTTACTCTATAAATCAGCATTTTGTAATCCTTTATAAACTCATCCAGATTTAAATGCTACTTTTTCATGCAGAAAGGATGACAACTTTATAGACAGTCAGTGCAACACACACATATTTTATCTCATCACCGTCTTCCTGCCCTTCCCATCCACTGTCTCATAAAACCCTCAGCTGAACTAAGATAAATACAATAGAAATTATTTTCAGTTCCCCTTGCACTGTCAAAGTAAAACAAGAAAACTGAAAAGCTACACCCCCAGCAAGAAAGGGAAGTATGTTGTTGTATGCATCATTACTCAACAATTACCCTCTAACTAAACATCCTGTTTAAGAGTTTAATTCAAACAAGAGCCAGACTGTTAAGAAAAAAAACAAAAAGAATAACTTTTATCTGGCTTACAATTATTAAAGCATTTATTTTCAGGTACCAAAAGCCATATCCCATTCTACTTTTCAAGTTTCTTTTGATCACTGACAGGCATTATCAGATGTAACAACTTGGTCTCCTATAGAGAAAATTACACTTATTTAAAAATCTGATTCCATTAATTGATCAAGTATAAAAATCTATGAAAACAATATGTTCTGCATATCACATCTGTACTTTTTTTTTAATTATTTTTTTTTTGAGACGGAGTCTCGCTGTGCTGCCCAGGCTGGAGTGTAATGGCGCGATCGCGGCTCACTGCAACCTCCGCCTCCCGGGTTCAAGGGATTCTCCTGCCTCAGCCTCCCAAGTAGCTGGGATTACAGGCGTGTGCCACCACGCTTGGCTGATTTTTATATTTCCAGTGGAGAAGGGGTTTCACCATGTTGGCCAGGCTGGTCTTGAACTCCTGACCTCAAGTGATCCACCCGCCTCAGCTTCCCAAACTCCTGGATTACAGGTGTGAGCCGCCGCGTCCAGCCACATCTGTACTTGCAAGGGTACAGCTTTACGGGACATAGGAATTCGAGAACCACTTCACAGGACGAGGGAAACAGCCCAATATTTACGTATACACATAATCCCAAGTGTGTGCTGGGGCCACCAGGCCCTTCCTGGGGGAACAAGGACTGTCGTGCATGTGAGTGACGACATTAATAGCATTTAATACTGTACAGATGCAACCTTCGATGATACATATATTTGATAAAAATGAGAAAACAGATTTGTTGTAGAGTACTTGTCCACTTTGCTAGCATGAGAACAGTACAATCAACTATTTATTTTGCAGTTACTCGTGTCAGTGATTGAGAATTTCTGTGACGTGCAGAGAGACGGCCTGTAATTGGTCTCATCATCCACTTGATTCTAACATGATCTCTGCCCAAAGTTCCATTTCTTGGGCTTTGATATTTACAGTGGCGCCTGCTCTTCATCTTGTCTTACGCTTTCTGAGCAAGTTCAAACCAGAAAGAAAAGGTGAGGCTAAAAGCCCCAAGTGAGAGAGTGTGAGGACCACAAGGAAGCCTACCGCTCCACAGTAGATGACCAAAACCACGTCCTCACGTGGGAGGTAGCACTTGGAGAGGGCGTAGTCTGTGGGCGTGATGCTGCCCTGGAAAGGAAAAGGGAAAGTTAAGGTGACAGCAGCAGGCACAGGTTGAACACCACAGTCTTAGAAACAGCAGAGGGAAACTGCCTTCTCAGGTCTCCCTCAGGTGAGGCAGGGAAGGGGCCTTCCTCACCTGAGAACAAGGGGGCCTGGCCTTCGTCCTGTACCGGGCTCTTCCCCCAGAGCCCGATCAGCCCAGGCTCTGGCAGGAGAGACAAGTAAGGCCCAAGTGTGCCTGGGTGGAAAATGTCTGGGACACTGACCTGTCAGAACTGGCCCCTGGCCTACCGGGTTCCCATCAAATATAATGGGAGATCCGTAACAGAGATTCAGAGAGGTACATGGAGTTCCACGGTCACTGGTCAGCAAGGAACAAGGAGGGAACCGTGTCTTCCTGCCCCCTGATGCTCAACTAAGCATCTGTTCCCTAGAAGTACATGTGTCCAGGTCGTCTCCGTGGCCTTTTCTCTGCAGATGCGTTTATGTGGAATGACAGTGGCAAATGTTTTCATTTACTTGAATTTGAAAATGTTACAGTTTCCCCCACCTTTTAAGAAGGAAAAGAACCTGTCATACCAGCATCATGAGCTGGATGTAGGAGCCCATGGCTGAAAGGCGTTAAAACGCCCAGTGGTCATTCAGTGAAACACCTTTTATCAACCTGCAAAGGCTGTAGCGTTCTCTGCCAGGTCAAATGGGCATGTTTTGAAAATAAGAGAAGATGGCTGAGTATAGCTAATGAATAAATGGTTGTTTCTTTAGAAAAGTAAACACACACAGAGTGTAAGAGGAGACGACGTGGCCCTCCCTGAAGGATCAAGTCCACCTGGACAGTGTCCTGCCCTCACTTCCCACACAAACCGCCCAGGAATGTCAGGCTGATTGGTTCCCAGAAGCGTGTTTGGCAAGAGGCAGTGCGTGGAACTACGTGTAGAGGGAGGGAAATTTGTGTGTGACTTTTGTAAATTTTTACAGATTGCAGCAATTAAATAGTTGATTACTGTGTTGATTTAAATACTTATGGAAAGCTTTCAGACAAAAATAAACTTTCACGTTACCATGATGAAACTGGGGTTGTTTCTGTTCCTCCAACTGAAAGACGGGACGCTGAGCTCGGGGACTCGGCCCCCGTGGTGCACCTCGCAGGCGCTGTGCGTGTGGCCACTGAGAACCAGGCGCGGCTGGAGCCACCACAGCAGCTGACAGCGGCCGAGAAGACAGCAAAGCAGGCTGTTAGCTCACCCTCAACCAGGCCCTCACCGCTCAGCAGACAGCCGCTGGCCATCGCTTCTTTCATTAAATTAAATACTACATCCTTATTTTGAAGGACTGGTTTATTTTTTTCCGTAAAAATCCTTTGGTTTATTTATACTAAATCAAAGGTAAGGTCAGCCCCTTTGAGTCTACTGTTCTCATTCTAGATTTTATCTACTTTTTGTGCTTTTTTATCTTTATAAATATTTTATACATCTATCTTATAAATATTTCCTATATTTATATATTATATATAATGCAATATGTCTTATATACATCTATATAAGAAAATGCATTTTGGCCAGGCGCAGTGGCTCACGCCTGTAATCGCAGCACTTGGCGGAGGCCGAGGGCGGCGGATCACGAGGTCAGGAGATCGAGACCATCTTGGCTAATCCGGCTGAAACCCGCCGTCTCTACTAAAAATACAAAAAAACTAGCCGGGCGTGGGTGGCGGCGCCTGTAGTCCCAGCTACTCGGGAGGCTGAGGCAGGAGAAATGGCGGGCAACCGGGGGGAGGAGAGGTTGCAGTGAGCCGCCCGAGTCGCGCCACATGACTCCACCCTGCGGGCGAGCAGAGGTGCTAGGACTCCATCGTCAAAAAAAAAAAAAAAGCAAAAAAAAGAGGCATTTTAATTTGGTTAAGTCTTAAAATTGACTCTTTTTTTTTTTTTTTTTTTTTTTTTTTTTTTTTTTGAGACGAGAGTCTCGCCTCTGTCACCCAGGCCTTGGAGTGCCAGTGCCGACGATCTCAGCTCAACTGCAAGCTGCGCCTCCCCGGGGTTCACGCATTTCCCTGCCTCACCTCCGGAAGCTGGGACTTACAGGCGCCGCCACCGCCTCCGCCGCTAGTTTTTGTATTTTTTTAGAGGACGGGGGTTTCACCGTGTTAGCCCAGGATGGTCTCGATCTCCTGACCTCGTGATCCGCCCGTCTCGGCCTCCCAAAGTGCTGGGATTACAGGCTTGAGCCACCGCGCCCGGCCAAAATTTGACTCTTAAGTTCCATTCACATTTCTAAACACATTCAAGTTGGTGAAAAACTCTGAATACAAAGAATAGCTGAAACTATTATTGACTTCAGCGTAGGAAACAGAAGTAGGTTTACTGGAAAAAAAAAAAAAAGAAAGCAATTAAATGATGGTGCTGTGAAAGCCAGGCCTCCATCCACCCCTGTCCCCAGGTGATAACTAAGTCATCAACGTTTCAGCAAACACCTGCTCTAGCCTGGGCACTCTGCTTGCTGACATGCAAGGTGACGAGAGTCACACGGCGACATGAATTAGCATCATGACACCCTGGCAAACCTTTTGTGATGCCTCCCGTGAAAGCACGTCGTAGTTCTCCTTAAATGGGATGTCCCTTTCCTCTGGAGGAGCAGCATCGTCCCCAGAACAGTTAGCATCACTTCTCCGATACAGAGGATAATGCTGTCCGGGGTGGAGAGACGAGTTCAGGCGGCTGTCGTGAAACTGCGGGCTGCCTGCTGTCCGCCATGAGCCCCTTCCTCCCCCAGCTCACCTGCAGGAGGACGGGGGCAGACACGGGCAGCAGAGGCCCAGGTCCGCACCGGCGCGAGCCACGTGCCTGCTGGGTACAAGTCAGGCCATTAATCCGCACACCTGACCCTCATCAAAGGGCAAGAAGAGCTGAGGGCTGAGTAACAAAAGCAGAGCGACACGGGCCAGAAGTCGCCTGTGGCACTGAGATGCTCTCCTACCTCTCGGGAGCAGTTCAGTCTGTGAGAAACTTCAATGAGCTCTGCTTCTGCTTCAGAGCAGATGCCACAGCCGTCCCCGTTCAGCGCCACGCTGTTGACCATCACGAAGCTGAGGCAGAGGGACACAGGCAGGTGAGGCCGCTGGGGGTACCAGTGCTTTCTTTTCCCCACTGTTCCCATGAAAAGAAAGCTAAGCATCCAGTGCAAAGAAACAAGCCCAAAGCAGTTTTCAATACCACCCAGAATAATTTGGTGGTTTTTTTTTTTTTTTTTTTTTTTGAGACAGTCTTGCTCTGTCGCCCAGGCTGGAGTGCAGTGGCCGGATCTCAGCTCACTGCAAGCTCCACCTCCCGGGTTTATGCCATTCTCCTGCCTCAGCCTCCCGAGTAGCTGGGACTACGGGCGCCCGCCACCTCGCCCGGCTAGTTTTTTTATTTTTTTAGTAGAGATGGGGTTTCACCGTGTTAGCCAGGATGGTCTCTATCTCCTGACCTCATGATCTGCCCGTCTAGGCCTCCCAAAGTGCTGGGATTGAGCCACTGCGCCCGGCCTGGTGTATTTTTAAATATGAGTCAGTATTAACAAAAATAGCATGACTGGGAGTTCAGTCTAAGACATGATCAAAGGGTTTTTGACCCTAAACTTGTGAAAAATTCCAGATTACAGAAGCTCATCTGTTACAGTGCATCTTCTGTGCAGAGGGCTAAGAACCCCTCTGCCCACCCCATCAGCTGGTTGTGAGGATTCAATGAAATGACATGGCAGGTGTTTAGAACACAGCCTGCCACTAGAAAGTACTCAGTACTTGTCAGATATTGTGACTAACAGGTAGAGGGAATCACAGGGTGCATCAGTGACATACAGACACACACAGCAAGTAAGGCAGAGGGTAGGGTGCCACTTAGAGCTAACTGGGTATGGATAATCCCAAACTACGGTAATAACAGAGTCCGTTATGGTTAGACTCAGCAGCCACATTTTTTTATAGACTCCCACTAAATACGCTTTTATTTCCTACACCCATACCATCTTGGAATGACGAAAGTACCGGTCAGTAAAGACTGCTTGAAATTTAACTCGTCTTAGAGATAAGGAGCGGAGTTACCAAGTGATCAGCAGTATGATGAGCTGTTAAAAGTGTCTTAAACACACACTTAGAGGGAACTAATTCTCACTGTATCATGTTTCTGTTATGAGTCAGCAGAGGAAGCCGCCTACTAGAGAGAGACTCTGCCCTCCTGGCAGAGGGAGGGAAAGGTGAGCACTGGAGGGAGGGAAAGGTGAGCACTGGAGGGAGGGAAAGGTGAGCACTGGAGGGAGGGAAAGGTGAGCATTGGCGGTGAAGCCACGGGACAGAAATGACCTCACCTGCAGACCTGCTGTGTCCAAGGTCAACAGAGTGCTCGGCACCCACAGGAAGGTCAGGATTAAAAGAGAAAAGGCTTCCACTCCCACCTGTTTTCTCTCCACCGCATCTATCATCAGCAGAGAGTATAGAGTCCTGCCCACTGTGCTGCAGCCGCATACACAGCCCAGAAAAGATCTAGAGATGGGCACTGAGGTGGCCTCGCAGAGCGGGAGCTGCTCATACTCAGGCTAAGGGTCAGGGTGCTCGGGTCTAAAAGCCCAGGCCGATGGAGACGGGTAGCATCGAGCTACACACGCACTGTGACACACTTGCCACCAAATCCCATGACACCATAACTATGGGAACAGTCTTTGTAAAGGGAAATTAGTACATTTTGATCAAATAAAAAGACTCTTTTACAAAGTGGGCTGATGAAATTTGCACCACCCAGAGACAGGGCAGACAGAAACAGTATCACTCCCACAGTGGCTGGGCAGAGTCATAAACTGACCGATTCACTGTGGGGTTGTGAAGGAAAACCAGGGTGGCTTGAGGTTTCCCATCTATCGGCTCCCACGGCGAGCACCAGCAAGGGCAGCCTGAGGCACTGCTGTTTAAAGCTCGTAAACCAGGCTACACGGAACACGGGCAGATGACAGATCCCAGTATGGCAGGCACCTTTAGAAAATGAAGTTTCCAAGGACTCAAGGTCTTGGAAGAATTTACAAGTAATACTCACTTAATGCCTTTCCAAGAAAACAGTCTTTCAGAGCTGAACACTTTCTCGAAGCGTTCCACTTTGTATGTGTTCATCCTATATTCAAGTGTAAGAGGAAACATTTTTCAGGACAAGCCATTTTAGAAACTCCTAGAGTTATCACGAACACAAAGTAACTTTCAAGGCTTGAGTTTCAGACTAGCGTTATTAGTTAAGGGCCCCAGCTGGCCCCAAGATATCAAAGCTCAAATTTTAATTCCACTACTTACTACGAAGCCTGGGGCAAGTTACTCAGCTGCCCAGGGCCTCATTCTGCATTGGCACCATATAGGTAAAACAACAGGACCGTGGTAAAGATTAATGTGTTCATATACGGAAGTAAAGTGCTTGAAACAGATGGCACATTACAAGCACTAGAGCACTATATAAATGTTAGCTATTAGAGTCTAAATGATCTTGTTTTTTCATTCCCAAAGACAATGATTGGCCATTAAATGTACATTTCAAGTTAGATGTTTCCCAAGAGCACATACAATTCATTCATTCCACAGATATTTGTTGAGGGTGTACTATGCACCAAGTAAAAACCCCTTAAAGAGCTGAATATCCAGAGCTTACATCTTTTGAGGAAAACGAATTTCAAGACAGCACAAATAGGGCTTTCACCAGAATTCCAACAGATTTAGAATTACAGTTAACCAGCGCGCTCAGGGTGCAGGGCTTTCGTGAACTACTTACTCATAATGGAAGCCAATGTCATGGTTTCCAGCAACTACCTTCAGCTGTACATGACTCGGGTGTCTGAACATTTTCTGAAACCGCTCCACATCATCCGCCCAGGCCTGAGGGAAAAAGAAAAACCTCTGCAGGCCAGAGAACCATCCCTGCCCTGTGGCTAAAAAACATGATCCCTGTTTTGTTTGGTTTTGTTTTTGAGACCAGTCCGGCTCTGCCTCCAGGCTGAAGTGCAGTGGTGTGATCTCTGCTCACTGCAACTTCCATCTCCCGCATTCAAGTGATTCTCCTGCCTCCGGAGTAGCTGGGATTCCAGACACACGCCACCATGCCTGGCTTTTTTTTTTTTTTTTTATTTTTAGTAGAGACGGGGTTTCACCATGTTAGCCAGGATTGTCTTGATCTCCTGACCTCGTGATCCACCCGCCTCAGCCTCCCAAAGTGCTGGGATTACAGGTATGACCCAACACACCCTGCCAATGATCCCTATTTTGATGTGAGAAGTGAATGAATTCCCCTGTTTAAATCAGATGTCCATAAAGATGATGTAGAACTTTTTTTTTTTTTTGAGATGGAGTCTTGCTCTGTCGCCCGCCACCACGCCTGACTAATTTTTTTGTATTTTTAATAGAGACGGGGTTTCACCATGTTAGCCAGGATGGTCTCGATCTCCTAACCTCATAATCCGCCTGCCTTGGCCTCCCAAAGTGCTGGGATTACAGGCGTGAGCCACCGCACCTGGCCACAATATGTCTTTTTTAAGACTACAATTAATATTTGCTGTTATGTAATTTGATGCCAAGTTTTCGTTTTATTTTGTTGTTTTTTTGAGACAGGGTCTCACTCACCCAGGATGGAGTGCAGTGGCCATGATCTTGGCTCACTAGAACCTCCGTCTCCAGGGTTCAAGTGATCCTTATGCCTCAGTCACCTGAGTAGCTGGGATTACAGCGCCTGCCACCATGCCCAGCTAATTTTTATATTTTTAGTAGACACAAGGTTTCACCATGTTGGCCAGGCTGGTCTCGAACTCCTGACCTCAAGTGATCCATCTGCCTCAGTCTGCCAAAGTGCTAGGATTACAGGCATAAGCCACCAAGCCCAGCCTGATGCCAAATTTTTAAATGGTATCCTTCTCCCATCTTAAAACAATAACTGGCAATTCCAAAAAATGTTTGGTTCATGCACCTATTATTTCAAGATCCCCTGAAGACCATTCATAGACCCTGGTGGAGAAATGCTTCAGATCTGGGCATGCTATAAGAACAGGCTCTTACAAAATGTCCAGTAAGTTCTTCATGTGTCCCAACCAAGACAAGGTTGAAAACATCTTTAAAAGTGGCATTCCCGGCCAGGCACGGTGGCTCGCACTTGTAATCCCAGCACTTTGGGAGGCTGAGGCAGGCGGATCACGAGGTCAGGAGATTGAGACCATCCTGGCTGACACGGTGAAACTCCATCTCTACTAAAAATACAAAAAACAGCCGGGCGTGGTGGCAGGAGCCTGTAGTCCCAGCTACAGGCAGGAGAATGGTGTGAACCCAGGAGGCAGAGCTTGCAGAGAGCCGAGATCGCGCCACTGCACTCCAGCCTGGACCATAGAGTGAGACTCCGTCTCAAAAAAAGATAAATTAAAAAAAAAAAAATGTGGCATTCCCCTATGGCTACAACTGTGGAAACGCACTAATGAGATGTGGGAGAAAGAAAGACAAAAAATACTTATTGTAACATATATTTCAAAATTATTCTGATACTTGCTTTAACTATTAAAACTTCAGAGTTATGTTAGTGTAGTTCTTATTTTTATAAAGCTAAAAATATCGACTGTACAAACACCCTAGGGTAGGGAAAAAAACAAAAAAAACCTCAATTCTAGATGGTAACCAACTTTATCCTAAACGTAAATCTGGCAAAACCTAAGGAAACATGCTGGATAGTGTCCTTGAATACATTTACAAAGATTCCACTTTAACAAATAACATTTAAAGTTAGATGGCTGGGCACGGTGGCTCACACCTCTACTCCCAGCACTTTGGGAGGCTGAAGCAGGCGGATCACTAGAGGTCAGGAGTTTGAGAGCAGCCTGGCCAACATGGTGAAACCCTGTCTCTCTACTAAACATACAAAAATTAGCTGGGTGTGGTGGCGGGCGCCTGTAGTCCCAGCTACTCGAGGAGGCTGAGGCAGGAGAATCACTTGAACCAGGGAGGCAGAGGTTGCGGTAAGCTGAGATCACGCCACACACTCCAGCCTTGGTGACAGAGCAAGACACCAGCTTAAAAAAATAAAAAATAAAAAATAAAGTTAGAGTAACATAAAATCAGAATAACAGACATAGAAAAACATAAAATATTGCCCTTAATTTGGAAAAGCAACATATCTATCCAACCACATTTTGTAACTAGTTGTTTTTACATATAACATTTCCACTATCTCACATTGAATTACAGCCTAGAGGATAACAAACATTGCAACTCTGCAAACAGTGGTTCCTATCAACTCCAAAACAAGACTTCTCTTGCGTAGCTACTGAATTGTCCTAGGAAATGCCCGTAAGGTTTTTGGGTTTTTGTTGTGGGTTTTTTTATTTTGCTTTTGGTTTGGTTGTTTGTCTTCCTTGATTTTTATCTTTATTTTTGGAGACAGGGTCTCACTCTGTCACCCAGGCTGGAGTGCAGTGGTGCACAGCTGACTGTGGCCCCGACCTCCCAGGCTCAAGTGATCCTCCCACTTCAGCCTCCTGAGTAGCTGGGACTATAGGCGTGCACCACCATGCCTGGCTAATTTTTGTATTTTTTGTAGAAACAGGGTCTCACTAAGTTGCCAGGTTTTGAACTCCTGGGCTCAAACGATCCTCCTGCCTTGGACTAGGCCTGGCGTGGTGGCTCATGCCTATAATGCCAGCACTTTGGGAGGCCAAGGTGGGCAGATTGCCTGAGCTCAGGAGTTCAAGACCAGCCTGGGCAACATGGTGAAACCCCATCTCTACTAAAATACAAAAAAAATTAGCTAGGCATGGTAGTGTATGCCTGTAATCCCAGCTACTCGGGAGGCTGAGGAGGGAGAATTGCTTGAACCCAGGAGGTGGAGGTTGTAGTGAGCCAAAATCACACCACTGCACTGCAGCCTGGGTGACAGAGTGAGACTCCATCCCCTCCACCACCAAAAAAGAAAAAAAAAAGGCAGGCACAGTAGCTCATGCCTGTAATCCCAGCACATTGAGAGGCCGAGGTGGGCGGGTCACCTGAGGTCAGAAGTTCGAGACCAGCCTGACCAACATGGAGAAACCCCATGTCTACTAAAAATACAAAATTAGACGGGCGTGGTGACGCATGCCTGTAATCCTACCACACAAGAGGCTGAGGCAGGAGAATCGCTTGAACCTGGGAGGCAGAGTTTGCAGTGAGCTGAGATCACGCCATTGCACTCCAGCCTGGGCAACAAGAGCAAAACTCTATCTCAAAAAAAAAAAACTCCTCCTGCCTTGGGCTTCCAAAGTGCTGGTACTATAGGCATGTGATGAAGCTTTTTAGACTACACCCCAAATTAAATATTTTCCAAAAACCATTAATGACTGAACATTTTTAAGCAGCAAGAACAGTTCATGTCTTCATTTGTTTTGTTCCAAGATGTAATAAGCAAAACATTGTGACAACTAAGGTGAGAAGAACTTTTCTCTTTGGTTTGTGGAAAGTCTTCCATTACCCCAATACCCAGGCGGAGGTCTCAGCCCCTCTGACGGCAGAGGATCCTCACATCGAGTCCCCAGGGCCCCTTCTGCATCTCTCACTCAGAAAAAAGAAAATCAGAGGAGAACAGCAAGTCCCTTTTGTAGCACAATTCTCCTAATGTTGTGGTTCAATAAGAGTGTGAAATTAAATGTGCATTTCAATATGTATTTTGCAATTTCGGTCACAACTGAAATAACATCTATCTTGCCCATTTCTCCCTTTCCCAAGAGGTTCACAAAACAGTGTATTCCAAGTAAATGATATCTGGCTAATCAACCTATTTCCTACATAGACAAATGTTTACAATTAGCCAACCTAACCCGAGATTGAGTTGTTCTAATAATCTTAGATAGCCTATGAATTCTAAGCATCTTCCAGATAGCCTATACATTTTTAATATCAGTAGTAAGTACAACTTCCATAAAATTTCCAACTCGAGCTGACATTGCTTCATGGATTCTCTGGGCTACTTGTGCCGGACCTCAAAGCAGGATGAGGGCACCTGGAACACAGAGTCCTACCTCAGGGGTGCTCCACTTCCCTTCATCAAAGACATCCCCCAGGATGAAGACGACTTCCGGCTGCAGCAACCACAGAGCTGTCTGGAACGCTCTCTCCATCTGCCATTCCCTTGACGCCAACAGGAAAAAGTAAATCATCAGTCTTTCCTGGGTGGAGGCTACTTCTGTATCATGCACCATTTAAACAGCAAACTAAATGGTTCCACTCTCCTTCTTTCAGAGTCCCACTCTTGCATTCCCATCCCCGGCTTGAAGGGCCAAAGAGGCCGTATCTGATTAAAGGTGGGGAATTAAGTATCAGAGAAGAGTCTGGCCACGCCTCCCACACACCCGACACTGTGGTGTGCAGGAACAGGCCCCACTCTGCAGCCTGCAGCCATCACTATTAATGACTGAACATTTTTAAGCAGCAAGAACAGTTCATGTCTTCATTTGTTTTGTTCCAAGATGTAATAAGCAAAACATTGTGACAACTAAGGTGAGAAGAGCTTTTCTCTTTGGTTTGTGGAAAGTCTTCCATTACCCCAATACCCAGGCGGAGGTCTCAGCCCCTCTGACGGCAGAGGATCCTCACATCGAGTCCCCAGGGCCCCTTCTGCATCTCTCACTCAGAAAAAAGAAAATCAGAGGAGAACAGCAAGTCCCTTTTGTAGCACAATTCTCCTAATGTTGTGGTTCAATAAGAGTGTGAAATTAAATGTGCATTTCAATATGTATTTTGCAATTTCGGTCACAACTGAAATAACATCTATCTTGCCCATTTCTCCCTTTCCCAAGAGGTTCACAAAACAGTGTATTCCAAGTAAATGATATCTGGCTAATCAACCTATTTCCTACATAGACAAATGTTTACAATTAGCCAACCTAACCC